CTGCGCACAGAGCCAATGTGCTGTCCTTTGACCATTGCTCTCAAACAATTAAGCTGCTTTAAGACAATAGGGAATTTATTTTCCAGGAGATGTCGGGTCTGAATATCTTGGCTCTGCAAGATATTTGTGGGCTGTTCTGGAGCCCACGAGGAGTAACGGAAGGGGAGGACTTGGAGTCCCTTCACCTTACCCAACCCCATGTGCTTCTGCTTCTGATTGACTGACTGGGCCCATAGACATGGTGTTCTGGTCTTTCCCTTCATTCTGATCAGTAGTGTGGGTTTTTTTAAAAGATAATCCATCTCTTCTAGCTTCCACCTGGTGGTGGTTCAGCTTGTGATGTCAGGGAAGCCAGGGGAGGAGATGTGATGTTCAGGGTTTACTCAGCAAGGAGGAGGCACCAGGGCACTCCTTCAGCTGCCTGCTTAGACCGAATACTCCCTGCATTTATCTTGTGCTCAGCCGCATCCTCACCTGGCGTAAGCCAGCTCCCTTGGCCAGGGTCCCAGGATGCTCTCTGGAGACATGGAGATGGGCTGTGCAGCTGAGGTTTCCAGGTCTCCTGTGGACATCAGGCAGCCTGGGGCTTATCCCTGAGCTCCCTGGTGCTCAGAGCGTCCCGTGAGGTAGCTGGGCATGGGGAGAGGGACCTCTCCTGGGGTGGGTGTGTTTTGGGGAGCCTGTGTGGCTGCTCTCATATGGCAGAGCTTCTGGTTTATCCCGCTGTGGTAGTGGGGTCCAGGGCAGCTGGAGATCCTGTCGGTGAACGCTATGCGCTATGGGGTGGGTTGCTGGGGTTGCACCACTTCTGCCTGGGCTTCCCCCTGCCTTCAGGGCATGTCACCCCCACCAGTGTCTTCCTCCCTTCACTGGAGGTGCTGCTCAGCAGTGAAGCTGCTGCTCCCTGCATTTCCGCCATCTGTTAGCGATACAGCCAGGGTCTCCTGCCACTGGGGCAATGCCACATCTCCTGGGGGCACTGTAGCCTGTAAGTGATCCATCTGGAGGTACACCGAGCTAGCAGAAGGTTTGGTGAATGAACACGGACGTGGCATGTGCCTTTCCCTGTGGTCAGGGGTGGGGTTGCAGCTCCCATGGATGCCATCTTGCCCGTCGCGGAGGTGAGCAGCCGCTTCCACTTGCAGGACGTGGTGTTGTTGACCCCATTGTGGTACTCGGTGGCTTCCCCAAGCCACCCAGGTTGCTGTGGACATCTCTTGTAGACACAAGTGATGGGAATTTCCTATCCCAGCTTCAGAAGCAACTGTGTTTGAGATGTTTACAGATGAGTTGGAAAGGTGTCTTGAGCTTCCCACCACCACCAAAGCCCTGGCAGTCTGTGTGGCGGTGCTTTTGGCACCGTGAGGGTTAACCATGGGGCTTTTTCATCTTGCATAGGACCCGGTGGAGGTTTTCAGAGGTTCCCAGCTCTGCTTTGCCTGGCTCTCTAAAATTAGCCGTGTAACCTTCCTAAAAATACTCAGAGGGCAGTAGCCCCCGGAGAGTACCAGTGCTGCTTGCTCCCGATTTCTAGACCAAGCCATCGGAGAGATGAAATCACCTGGCAATGTGTGTCTCGCAGCCCTGGAAAGCCCTTGGCTTTCTCAGAGTCTCCTGCAGGATACCAGAGCCCAGGTCTGGATCCAAACCTGTCTTTCCAGGCCAACCTGCTTTCCTGCAGCACCTTCCTCTTCCTCGCTTGCTCCTGGCAAGAGCTGGTGCCTGCCTGCACATCTCTGGTTTGCGGAGATGGTGCCAGCTTCAGGTTAAACAAGCCGCAGGCGGGAGCATCACCAGCTGCCCCGGGAGCCTTGGGAAGGAGGAAGGGTCCATGGCCTTTCCCTGGAGCATCCCCCAAGCCTCCCCGTGGGCGTGGGAGGCCCAGGCGAGGAGGAATGGCTTGGCCCTTCCTCTCTCTTGCTTTTTTTTTTTTTTTTTTATTTATTTTAGGGATGTGGGAGGAGGGCGGAAAGGGCTCAAGGAGGAGGGAGGGAGGGAGGGAGCTGAATTTTCCATGAGCAGCTGTCAAAATGTAATCTCCTGCGTTGCTCGGGCTGGCAGCTTAGGCAGGATAAATTAACGGGGATTTCGGGGAACGTGGAAAATACCATGGCCCGGAGGGGGCCGACCACGTGGGGAGCGGTCCTTTCATCTGCCGGATGGACTCGGGGCCCCAGCGCCTGCCTGGACCACGGAGGGATGCTCTGAGACGCTGGGCTTAGTGCCTGCCGCTGTCGGGTGCCGGCTGTCCCCCGGCTTTGGTGGTTTTCCGTCCACCACCTTCCCCCAAAGGTCAACCGGAGAAGGGGAGAGAGAGCCCGACCCCCTTCTTTGCCTCCCTTTCCCACCGGCGGTGGGCTCCCCCAGCTCCAGGTGCCTGCCGTGGAGGAGGATGCCGGCAGTTGCTCATGCAATGCCAAGTATTTGTGCCGACAGCTGGGACACAGGGCGGCCCCCTGCCCTGGAGGCCTTTCCACGGCAGCTCCTTATAATTTTTTATATATACGTACATATCTTTTTTTTTCCTCCCACCTCCATCTTGCAAAATACAGAGCCAGGAAAGCGTGTCTGCTCCTGCGCTTGGCTCAGCCCCCAGCCCCGCGTGGCAGCCAGCGTCGGTGGCTGGAGCACGCCGCGCATGTGCTGGGGTTTGAGCCCGGGCTCCTCCGTCCGTGCAGTGTCCCCATGTCCTTGCCATGTGGCTGCGGTGGCACTGGGGGTCCCTTGTCCCCCGGCCAGCTGCCCCAGGGAGCACCAAGGAGCGTGACGGGTGTTTGTGCTGGTTATTTATAAACGTGTTAAAGCTACCGCAGCTAGCAAAGAGGCCTGGCAACAGCCGCTCACCAGAGCCTGCAAAGGATTCTGCTCTTTCCCCGGCTCCTGCTGCTTGCTGGCAGCCAGCGGCCGTGCCCCAGCAGCCGTGGGCCGGGTGGTCTCATCCAGGACCCTCTTCTTTTGCCCCGGTTGTACGTCTCGTAGGATCCCTTTGGGTGCTGCCGGAGCTGGCAGATCTGGGACAGCTGTTTAAAATAACACATTGGCACAGAAAAAGTGGGGGGACCAGAGAAAACGAGGTCTTCCCATGCGGTGCACGGGGGATGGTACCGAACTTCTGCAAATGCTTTGCCCTGACACCGAGTTTGCAACCAAAACCCCTTTTCCAAAGGGAGCCCTTCACAGCTGCCCCATGCCAGGGGCTCGCTGCTGCAAACTGGTCCCCGGAGCTTTCCCGGTAGGGACCGGCGCCCGCGATGCTGGCAGACCGTCCGCTTTCAAGCGGGATCGGTTCATCCGGGGACAGGGGCAGGCGGGATGCCAGGGGAGCCGGGGGACGGGGAAGGGGAAGGAGACTAGCTGGGTCTTGCAGAAGGCAGGCTGGGCGGCTATCTGAGCCCGCTCTATAAATACATCAGGCGGGTAAACACTTGGGAGGAGAAAAAAAACCCCAGCTATTTCAACTAGTGGGCAACTGCTGCCACAAGGTATAAATCGGTCAGGAGTAAAATTAGGCTGGAGAGGAGGAGGCAGATCGGTGCTGCTGCCCGGGAGGCTCCGGCTGCCGGTACTGCCCTTTCGGCCAGGGCTTGGTGCGGACAGGGCTGGACTTGCAGCGGAGACCCGGTGGCTTGGCCCAGCTGGGGCAGGGACGTGTCCCTGCGGTGGCATGCTGCGGGCCAGCCTGCCACCCCACCAGAGGGGCCCCTGGGCTCCAGGGCTCCTTGTTTTAGCAGGTCCCTTTAGAGCCAGTCCCCCACCACCCATGATGCTCGTCTTTGCTGTGCCCTCCTGGGAAATAATCACCCTCCAGAGCGGCAGGAGTTGGCATCCCTGTCCTAGGCTTTCATCCGGGGAGCTGGGGAGTAATCTGTATTTATCATCGCTGCTAATGAGAGGGTGTTTGGGTGTTGAGTAGTTATCCTGGCTGTTTGCACCGCAGAGGTCTGAGCTGCCTCCCCTTGAAACCACCTGCGCTTTCTCCCTTCCAAGAAGCACAAAAAATTCCCTCGCCCAGTCCACATGGTGGCAAACAAGAACCTGATTCATCCTTAGATAATTTGTGTACGTTCCTCTTCTCTTCTTTCCTGAGCAGCCTTTGCATATATATGAAGAAAGCTCTTAAGCGGCACTGCAGTCAAACCTGATCTGCTTTTAGAAGACAGGTCCTTAAATTACCCTCTCCCTCTCCGCAGGCATGGAATTGCTAGATATTCTGGTGCAAACCCATGGTGGCGGTGGTGGCACGCATGTCTTCGGCTGCGTTGGCTTAGAAACCTGGGTTTGGGGCGCTGGGGACGATGCCATGGCTGTCTGCATGGCTGGAGCAGGTGGTGGCACCAGGCAGGTCCGGGTGACAAGGCAGGGCCAAGGTCAAGCTGGGGCGCCAGCCTGCAGGGTCCCCCTGCTCCCGAGGCTGCTGGCTGGCACTGGTGGGGTGGGCACCCACCTCGCTCCTGCAAAAAGCTGGAGAAAGCAGCAATGTGGACTCGGGGCTCCAGCCTGCCCGTCCTCTGCTGCGACCCTACGGAAAAACCTCCTTCCTTGCAGCTTTTCTGGCTCAGCCGTGCAGGGCTGAGCTACAGCAGCAAGGGACAGGACTGTCCTGGAACGGGGACGTGCCCCTGCGCTTGCCAGCTGCGGGGTGCTGCGTGCCCGGGGCTGCTCATCGCCCTTTAAGGCCCAGCAGCAGCTGATGGCCACGTGTGCGCTGCCTTGGCACAATCTCCATGCCCTCTGCGCGACAGGCACAGGGACGACCGGCGCGCCGGCTTGGGCGGCTGTCCCCTGTCCGGTGGCTGTCCCCCACGCCGCCACTGCTGGCAGCCGGCACAGGATGAGCGGGCGCCCGGCGGGCGCTGCGTGGGGGGCGTGGCACCATTGGCGGCGGGTGGGGGGCTCCCTGCCGCAGTGCCCCGCCGTGGCTTCGGGGACTCCCCGGGATGCGGGCTGGGCTCTTCTCCTCCTCCCCTCGCTAAGGGCTCATCTCTCTGCTTTCCCTCCAGGTTTCAAGTGCCCCATTTGCTCCAAATCCGTGGCTTCTGACGAGATGGAAATGCACTTTATCATGTGTCTGAGCAAACCTCGCCTCTCCTACAACGGTAAGGGCCGGCGGCCAGGCTTTGCGGGGGACACGGCGTCCTGCTGGCTTGGGACGGCTCCGGGCAGGCTGGAGAGACGCTTGCCGCAGGCGGCACGGCTGGGCTTGCCAAGAGGGCTGTGCTCCAGTGGACCGGTGCAGCTCGCAGTCCCTGCTCCGCTCTGCTTGGCCTCGCTGCTTTTGCCTTGGGACCCTTTGCAACGCAGCCCCCTCCCTGCGTTGCTCACCACAGTGTGCTGTGCCGGAGGGAGCCGTCCTGGCTAGGGCAGAGGGGACATGTGTCCTCCTGGGCTGCCCCCCTGAAGGGTCATTTTCTTCCTCCCCTCCTCGCTGGCAGCAAGGCTTACCGGGCTGAGCACCGGGCTGCAAGCTCCTGCATCTGCCATCCTCCCTGAGCGATGCTCACCCCCTCCTCAGTGGCGCTTTTTTGGAAGCCGGGGGTAGGGGCTGTGTTTGC